TTAACTTTAGAACAACACTTATTTGAAGTATTTAAACCTGAATACAATATATCAAAAATAGCTGGCTCTATAGCGGGTCATAAATTTTCTAAAGAAGTTGGAGAAAAACGATCTGCTATTAATTTAGCTAGAAATTGGAAAAAAGAATTGCATCCAAGCTGGAATACTGGGAAAGAAGTATATTTGTATGAGATCTTAGAAAATAAATTAATTCTTAAAGAAACATTTCTTAATTTGTCTAGAGCTCATGAAGTCTTAGGCATCTCAAGATCTACATTATGGAAATATATAAAAAATGAAACAATAATTTACTCTTCTATTAAACCACCTAAAAATAAAGGTTCAGGTTTTATAGCAGGTAGAATTAACAATCCTTTGTATAAAGGTAAATATAGAGTTTCATTACTAAAATTAGATTAAATTATATCTTGTCTAAGTATAGACAGTTGTTTATGCTTATAAATTAATAGTTTAAAATTACTTTGCTAAGTCTATACAATTGTTTTAACTTAATTATTAATTAACCTCTATAAACGAGGATGGCAGGTATTGAAAAATACAAAATTATGGGGCCATTTAAAAATCCCCCTTTTTTAAAAAGGGAACGTGCTGTGGAGTAGTTATCAACCAAGGGATTAAAAATCCCCCTTATTAATTTAAGGGGTTAAGATTTTACCCTTGGAAACAATAAAAAATGAAAAAAAATAATATATTAAACCCTTATTACGTAACAGGATTTACAGATGCAGAAGGTTGTTTTAATGTTACAATTAGCCCAAGAAGCAATGGTAAGTACCAAGTATCTCTTCGTTTTGAAATCGATCTTCATTCTCGAGATATTAAACTTTTATCAAATATTCAATCTTATTTTAAGGGAGTCGGTACATTAACTACAACGAAAAACAACTCTTTGGTTAAATTTGTTGTAAGAAATTTTCAGGATATTGTTAATGTTATCATTCCTCATTATGAAAAATATCCTTTATTAACTCAAAAACAAGCAGATTTTTTATTATTTAAAGAAATTGCCTTATTAATGAGAGATAAAGAACATTTAACACCTGAAGGATTGTTAAAGATAGCAGCGATAAAATCTTCAATTAATTTAGGATTATCAGATAAACTTTTATTAGCTTTTCCTGTTGAACCTTATGTAAGACCTGAAATTAATACTTTAACTATTCCTGATCCTTATTGGATTACAGGATTTGCAGAAGGAGATTCTTCATTTTTTGTAAATTTAAGTAAAGCTAAAGACACTAGAACTGGCTATAAAATTACTTTAATGTTTAGGGCTGCTCAACATTTACGAGATCTTGAATTGTTAAAATTATTAGTTAAATATTTTAATTGTGGTACTATCCAATTAGATAAGAGAACTACTAGAATTAGTCTTTTAGCTAATTATACTGTTACAAAATTAAATGATCTTTATACAATATTAATTCCATTCTTTAGACAATACCCATTAATGGGTATTAAACAATTAGATTTTGAAGATTTTTCTAAGGTAGCTGAGCTTATGAATAATAATGAGCATAAAACTTTAGAAGGTATTAATAAAATCATTGAAATTAAAGCTAATATGAATTCTAACAGAATTATATAATATTATTATTATATGTTTTCGAAATATTCTCCTTAAATAGTCGGTAGACTGCTTTATTGAGTTATTATTATAAACCTCTGTAAATGAGGATGGCAGGTATGAGAATACAAAATAATGGAGCCATTTAAAAATCCCCCTTTTTTAAAAAAGAGAAAGTGCAGCGGAGTAGTTATCAACCAAGGGATTAAAAATCCCCCTTAATCCATTAATAAGTCAAGGGACTTTAAAGGACTAATAAAATATTTAGGTAAATTTCTCCCTTTCCTTTTATTTTAAAAACTATTTATTAGAAGGTTTATAAATTAGACTTTTTTATTTATAAAAAGAGGTTTGGATAAATAAGTATAATTAAGTTTATTGAAAATAAATACTTATCCAAAGGGAAGTTCAATTCTTCTCTAAAAACCTGACGAGTGTTGAGCTAATTATTATTTAATTAATAAAAAATATTTTAATAAAGTTAGCTCTGTGGCGATCCTACCCTATTTAACTTATAGAGGCTGATTTACCAATGGCGAGTTTGTCCAGGTAAAGATTTTTAAATCTATAATCAATAGATTTAAGTGTAAAATTACTATGAAATAATGATTGATTTCATTATTTAATTTAGCTTACCCTTAAGTAGGCTAAAATTATGGGATTTATTATAAATTATAATATGAACAAAAATTTTTTTAAAAGATTACTAATAGGAATTAGTAAAGGATGGAACACTCCTACTTTACCTCAACATTTATTAACATTACAATTACATCCTTTAATAAGAATATTTAGAGTATTAGGAGGTATTAGTATTTTATTAATATTAACTAAAAGAGTAAATTATTTTAACTCTTTTGTATTATATCTAGTAGTACTAATAAGTATATTTTATACTTTTTATGTATTATACATTAGTTATTATAGATTAAAACATATCTATAAAATTATGAAATCTAAAGACCTCGAAATAAGAAATTCACCTTTAGATAAGTTTGCTACCCTTGCAAGTAAATTAATTTTTTGTATTAAAGGGGCCTGTGATTCAGCAGTCCCTTTAGGTGTAGCATTAGGAGTAATGGCTGGTTTTGATACTATCCTTGAACATAAAGGAAAAGAGCCTATATTTTTACCTTTTATAGCTGAAGTTATTCTTCCAGACTCTGAAGAGCAAAAAATATATAAAGAGCGTAAAAATCTACTCAAAGATATTAAAGGAATAGATTCTAAATATAAACAATTATATGAAGATAGTTCAATACTAAAATCTCTTGAAGATAGTAAATTATTTAGTGATCAAGATATAACAACTATACGAGAAGAATTCAAAAATCAGGAAAATATAATGTTTATTAAAAAAGAAGTATTGCTTGAGGAATTGAAAAATAACTTTAAAAAATAAAAATTAGCTAATTTTTTATTTTCTAATGTAATAATAAAGTTATTATTTATTAATATAAAACCCCCCCGCGAATCGAGGGGGATGGCAGGTATGAAAAATACAAAAAAAATGGGGCCATTTAAAAAATCCCCCTTTTAAATTTAAAAAGGGAAGGTGCCGTGGAGTAGTTATCAACCAAGGGATTAAAAATCCCCCTTATATATGTATAATTAAGAATACTATATATAAGGGTAATGTGGAATATTATAATACACAATAACTAAATTCAGATTAGTATTAAAAAGTAGACCCAAATGAAAAATCCTCACCTTCTTATACCAAACCCTCCCCTACCGAGTTGAGAGCTTAAGTTTCAGAATAGATTAATTTATGAAGAAATCTTGTCAGATTAACTACTCCCTGTTTGTATTTTACGGTAGTAGCCACTAATATATGTGTATAATTAAGAACACTTCTATATATTTAAGAACAGATCAGTATATTTTAGAATAGATCTATATATTTAAAATAAATCAATATATTTTAGAAAACAGCCCTTCCCGGATGCCGGAGTTTAGCCCGGAGGACTAAACATTCTAAAAGCCCGGCAAGTTTTTATATAAAAAAACTCGCCGTCCCAGGATTTAAATATAAAGGAACCTGACATATATCCCTCCTGGTTTAGATAGGTATAAGATATTTTATATATCTATAATAAGGATGATAGTTTAATTGGTAAAGCGCTCGACTCCACCTTTTCAGTTCAATTCTTTTCTCCTTAAACAAAAAAAATGACAATATTCGAATTAATTATTTTAGTACTGCCGATACCATTAGCTTCTCTTTATTTATCAACAATCTTAATTAGATTTGCTTTTTTAATATTTTTATATGGTTATATATTATATGATTTATCATTACCAATAGAAATATTAGGAGGGTTATTTCAACCATCACATTTTTATCAAATCCCTTCAATCTTGGGTGATTTTTCTTTAATAGAAGAATTTAATACATTAATATCATTTACTCCATCTTTTCAAGATAGTCTTTTATTAGGACCTGTAATTGTTTATTCTAATGCAGATATAGATAAATTACGGATTTTAACAGACAATAAAGGTCTTAGCGGGATCTATATGTGGAAACACGAGGAATCAGGAAAGATTTACATAGGATCTGCTGTAAATTTGTCTAGACGACTAAAATGCTACTATTCTATAGCTTATATTTCTCGTATTAAAAATATGCTTATTTATAAAGCTTTACTTAAATACGATTATTCAGCATTTTCTTTATCAATTCTTGAATATATAGAGATTTCAGGTTTGTCTAATGAACAAGCTCGTAATTTAATACTAGCACGTGAGGATTTTTATCTTAAACAAATCTTTGAAGTAGATGAACCGAATACTTATAATATGCTTAAAGTAGCAAGTTCTTGGTTAGGTGCTAAACATTCTGCAAAAACAATTGCAAAAATGAGTCTAGCTAAAGCTGGTGAGAATAATCCTATGTTTGGTAAAACTCTTACTGCAGAAACAATTGCAAAAATTAGTGAAGCCAATAAAGGTAAAATAATTTCAGCAGAAACAAAAGCAAAATTGAGTAAATCACAAAAAAGCATAGATAGAATAGGTATCAATAATCCTGCTAGTAAAAAAGTATTTATTTTTTCATTTGAATCAGAGACAAATGAATATATACTGTCTAATTCATTTGTTTCTTGTACAGAAGCGGCTAAACATTTTAAATGTAGCATAAAAACTATTTCTATATATCTCAAAAGTGGAAAAATTTTTCAAAAGAAATGGGTTTTATCTTCAACCTTAAATTTTAGGCAGCCAAGTTAACTCAGATTCTCCTTTAAGAGGGGAAAGACTCTGAGGAATAGAAAATGGGCTATTCAATACGATAAAACTATTTTAACACCCCCACGAGAGTTCCCAAATACATTTGCTCTAATTAATCCTTCATTTTTAATAGAAAAAGTTTGAAAAACTGTTTTTTTATATATAATAATAATATATTAGGATGATAGTTTAATTGGTAAAGCAGTCGATTCCAAACCGACCAATGGAAGTTCAAGTCTCCCTCGTCCTGTAATAAAACCAGTTTAGCTTTGTATCAAGCTAATAATAAGTGGTCATAAAAATATCTTACCGGAATAATATATATATGATAATATTAAAATTTATTTTTTTAGTAATGTCTATACCACTAGCTTCTCAACATCCGTCAACAATCTTAATTCCAAGAATTGCTCTTTTAGTATTTCTATTTGGTGCTATATTATCAGAAATATTAGGAGAGTTATTTCAACTAACTTTATTTTCGCAAAGCCTAGAAATATTTATATTAATACTAGGTAATTTTTTTTCTCTAGAACAATCTAATTCTTTATTATCCTTAATTCCTATTATAGTTTACTCTAATGCTGATACTGCTAAATCCCCCGGTTCCACCGGGGAATAAGAATAAAGCAGGAATCTACCTGTGGATCCACAAAGAATCGGGAAAAAGATATATAGGCTCAGCGAGTAATTTAAAAACTCGTTTGTCGCTGTACTTTAATTTTAACTATTTAGAGCGTAATAAAACAATGTATATCTGTAATGCACTTAAAGAGCATGGATATTCTACGTTTTCTTTATCAATTATTGAGTATATAGACATTACGGATTTATCTTTAGGTGAAGCTAAAATATTGATTCTTGAACGTGAGCAATTTTTTCTTGATTTAATCTTTTCCGAGGATAAACCAAATACATATAATACACTTAAGCTAGCTGGTTCTTTATTAGGGTTTACTCATTCCTCAAAAACTAAAGCTTTAATGAGTAAAATTCAGAAAAACATTGATAGATCAGGTGATAATCATCCTCGTGGGATGTCAGGCAAAACTCATTCTGCAGAGGCTTTAGCTAAAATTAGTAAAGCCTTATCAGGGGATAATCATCCTAGATATGGTAAATTACATTCGGCTGGAACTGTAGCGAAAATTAGTGCTGCTAAAGGAGGAGGTATAATTTTTGTTTATGATTCTAAGGGTTCACTATACAATACTTTTACTTCCGCTCGAGAAGCAGGTAAATTTTTTAATTGTTCTCATAATACTATTAAAAAATATGCTAATAATGGCGATTTGTTTAAAGAACAATGGGAATTATCTTTTATTTCTAAGCAAAGTTAACTCAGACAATGAGGGATAGAAGGGCACTATCCAGTACAAACGTTGTATTTTAACACCCCACTTCATCACAACAGGTACCAGCGAGGGGCACGTGGGCCGATTAACCGAAGGTTATATTCTATTAATATAATTAGTTTAGGGGTATATTTTCTTAAATACAAAATATTCTAGCTAGCCCTACTTATTTTATTTATTTAGGAATTGATTAATCAATGACAAGTTTGTCTGGATAAAGATTTAAAATCTATAATCAATATAGTCAAGTTAAGTGTAAATTACTATAATATATAAAGGATAATTTTCCTTCCCTTATATACTAAGGGATGGTCCTTTGTAGGATCTTTATATAAATTAATCAGTCAAAGTTATTATAATAAACTTAGCTGTTATTATGGGATTTATATTAATTATAATATGAACAAAACATCTATTCAAGCTCCAATAGTTGTTCTTTTCCGGGGCCGGGGCAACAATCTTAATTTACCGATTTGCTTTTTTAATAATTCTTTTCAGTATTTTATTATCTTATGAGCCTTCATCTTCTGATTACCTTTACTCTTTTTTAGTTCCTGTAATGATCTATGATAACGCTGAAACTGAAAAATCTAAAATTTTATCTGATAACAAAGGTAAACCAGCGATTTACCTGTGGAGGGATAAGAAATCAGGTAAAATTTACATAGGTTCTGCTGTGGATTTGTCAAAACGAATGCATAGTTATTATTCTACTGCTAAATTAAAAAAACTTGATAATATTATCTGTAGAAGTTTATTACATCACGGTCATGAAGCTTTTTCTTTAACTATAATAGAGTATATTTATATTTCTAATTTAACTAAAGAAGATGCTCGTAAATTGATTCTTGAGCGAGAACAATATTATTTGGATTTATTACAACCAGACTACAATATACTTAAGATAGCTGGTAATTCCTTAGGGTATAAACATACAGCAGATTCATTAGCTAAAATGTCTGAAGCCCAAAAAGGTAAAAATCACCCTTTTCATGGTAAATCTCATTCTGAGGAAACGAAAGCAAAACTGAGCCTTGCTAAAATTGGGGATAAAAATCCGATGAGTGGTAGATTTCATACGAATGAAACTAAAGCTTTAATGAGTGGTAGATTTCTTACAGACGAAACTAAAGCTTTAATGAGTATTGCTAAAAAAGGAGAAGATAATCCAAATTTTGGAAAATCTTTTTCTACACAAACAATAGCGAAAATGAGCGTTTCTAAAGGAGGTGGTGCTATTTTTGTTTGTGATGCTCAGGGCTCACTTGCTTATACTTTTCATTCTGCAAGAAAAGCAGCTGAATTTTTTGATTGTAGTCCTGTTACTATCTTGAAATATACCAAAAATAATGAATTATTTAAAAAAAAGTGGTAATTATTTACAAATGTTTTCAGCCCAGCAACTACTAAAGACACTTCAAAAGATGATAGTGACATATAAGATAGTGATAAGTTCTTATACTTAATAGGGGGTTTAATAAATATATTATTATAAGAATTGCTTAAAATTATATAACTCCCCCCGGGTACTACCTTTATCTTATAATGTTTTTTTATATATTCATATAAAAACTCCGGGCGAAGCGCCCGAAGGGAGCTAAGTTTTTTTAAAAAACTTTGCATTTTTAATTCTTTAAAAAAGCTATTTAATGTCCGGAGCCGGCACCCGCGGCAACGTGCGCGGAGCCCGGGCTTTATTAGCATTGCTACCACTTTTTAATATTAATAATTTTCTTAAATTATAAACACCCCCGGGCCCTTTTTACGAAATAATAAATAAGTGGTTATAAAAAATTTTACCGGTAAAGAATAAATAACAGATAAAATTGATTAAAGGATAGTTTAATATTTAATGTTTTTATTTACATGAAATCATTTAAATTGCTAGTTCAATTCTTTTATCTAAATACTACAATTTCACGCCCAGTTTTTAATCTTTATTTGTTAATTATAGACTGGCTTAGCTTTGTATTTAATTATACGTTATAATATTTGCCGCATTTATTATAAAAAGTTCCGTGAAGACCTATCCCTTAAGGTAAATTTAGGGATTGATTAAAATTTGTAATCAAAAACATAAGTGTAAAATTACTATGGAATAAAGATAATATCTACCCGTATTATGGGTAAATTTTTTAAAAGGGGTGACTGCGAAGAATTTTTCGGGGTCCCCTTAGTAAAAATCTTTATTTAAATCAGCTCCCCGAAGGGGTGCACCCGCCAAAGGCGGGAGCTCTCCTCTCTCTCTCGAGGGCCTGGTCTGCTGTTATTTTGGGATTTATATTAATTATAATATGCAAAAAAACATTCAATCACATCCTTTCCATTTAGTGGAACCATCACCTTTATTAACTTCAACACTAAAGGGTGTAATATATTTTTATATTATTAAACAGGGCCCAGGTTGTATTAATTATTATTCAACTAATAATTCAAATAAATCGGCTAAATTTGTACCGATTGTTACTTATAATAATGCTGAAACAGATAAGTCAAAAATTTTATCTGACAACAAAGGTAAAGCAGGAATATACCAATGGACTCACATAGAATCAGGAAAAATTTATATCGGTTCTGCAATAGATTTATCTAAACGCTTAAATAGATATTATTCTTGTTTAGAATTAAAACGAGTAGATAATTATATCTGTAGAGCTTTACTAGATCACACTCATTCTGCTTTTTCTTTAGCTATACTAGAATTCATTGATATCTTGAATTTAGGTAAAGAAGAAACTCGTAAAATAATTCTGGGACAAGAACAATGTTATCTTAATTTGGTCTTTTCGGGCGAGGATAAACCAAATTCATATAATTTACTTCCAACAGCAGGTTCTTCGTTAGGTTATAAACATACAAAACAATCCCTTGCTAAATTTAGCGGGGAAAATCATCATATGTTTGGTAGAACAGATGAGAAAAATCCTTTCTTTGGGCGAAGTGAGGAAACTTTAGCTAAAATGAGAGATGCTAGAGGTACAACTATATACGTGTATTCTACTGAGAAATCCACACTTGAAAATACTTTTTGTTCTGCAAGAGAAGCAGCAGAATATTTTAATTGTGGTCATAAAACAATTATGAAATATGTTAAAAATAAAAATATATTTCAAAAACAATGGATTCTTTCAACATCCTTAATTACTAAGGAATAATAGTAGGGCCGAAATCCTCTTTATATTCTATTTACTAAAATTAGCAAATGAACCTTGGGCCGTTCCAGTTTTGTTTACTAGTCTGCGAGAAGCTGGTATTACAAAAACTGCTACAATGTTAGAGTGGGCTATCACTAGCCCTCCTGCGTTCCACGCATTTGAAGGTTAATTACCTGTACAATCAGTTAACACCCCCTCCTCGGCGTCGGGCTCTAATATATATAAGTATAGATTGATAAGGATGTAGTTTAAATTAAAGCGCTCGACTCTAATCGAGAGACTGGAGGTTCAAGTCCTCCCATTCTTGAAATACTTAATAAACATTACTAATGGCGAGTTTGTCTAGGTAAATTAATAAACAATTTAATATTGTTTTATAAAGTGTAAAATTACTATTAAATAATGATTCATTTCATTATCAAAATTAGCTTTCCTTTAGAGTAGGCTATTATTATGGGATTTATTATAAATTATAATATGTATAAAAATATTCAATCACATCCTTTCCATTTAGTGGAACCTTCGCCTTGGCCGTTAGCGGCTTCATTTGCTTTATTAACTACAACACTTAGTGGTGTAATGTATTTTAATAATTATGCCAATGGAGGTTTATTATTAACAATAGGTCTTATTTGTACTGTATTATCTATGAGCCTTTGGTTTAGAGATATAATTATAGAGGGGACTTTCCAAGGATCTCATACTTCTAAAGTACAACAAGGGTTAACATTAGGATTTAT